GGGGGGATCCTGTGAAATTCTTCACCTGTGGCCCTTGTCGGTAAATCTTTTCCGCGTTCTCAGTTTTAATTTCAGACGCGATCAGACAGATTGTGAGATGGAGGAGCGCTGGTATAACCCGTCCTCCGTGTGCGTCATCTGCAGTCCACCCAGGAGAGCGCTGTACAGCAAGGTAAGTCTATGGATGGTGTGCGGGCCCCCGGGCCCCGGGTGAACCACGTGTCTATGTAGCGGTCTGCCCGGAGTTCGGGGATTCACGCCGTTGCAATGTGTTAACGTGCGTTCCTAATACACTGCCTGCTAATCACGTCTCCTTCCCTTCCCCCGTTCCAGGAAATCCACGATTCCGAGATCCACGCCGTCAGATTCAGCCCCAATCCCAAAATGGTGGCCACCGGAGGGGCGGACCGAATGGTGAAGCTTTGGTATATCGCTGGAGGTAAATCTCTACTCTCCTGCTAAAGATGACCGAGCAGTGCAGTGCAAGGGCCACAGGTACAGTCCGGGCTCCTCCCACTGTATGAATCGCCTGCTGATCATTGGTTCACAAGCTGCCTATAACTATAACCATAGGAGCCCATGCTGCTGCTATAGGGCCCGAGGGTGAAAAGGGGGCCCTGCTAGGGAGGTTAATTTCTTCATTTAAGAAGAGCTGATGTTAGATCCACAGGATCATTCTTTGGGGTCATTCTTTGAGGTAATTTTTTGGGGGTCACTCTTTGGGGATCATTCTTTGGCATCATTCTTTGGGGGTCACTCTTTGGGGATCATTCTTTGGGGTGATTCTTTGGGGTGATTCTTTGGGGATCATTCTTTGGTGATTCTTTAGGTCATTTGTTGGGGGTCACTCTTTGGGGTCATTCTATAGCGCCTGATGGTGGAAAAGGGGCCCCTCTAAGGAGCTTGATTTCTCCATTTCAGAAGGGTTGATGGTTTGGGGTCACCTTGTGACTGAATACAGAGTTAGTCTGATCACTGGGGGGAGGGGAGACTGAGGAAATGCTTCCTCCTGCCTGCAGCAGACTGATGACCTCATCTCAGCCGAGGCAATGACTGGAGCTCAGGGATGGATGTTTATTGGTAGAAGGGGGAGATTCTCTGAACGATGATCCCGTTGCTGTATACTGCGACATGCCAGGAAATGATTCATGTCGGTTTTAATGTCACTGACAGGTCCTCTTTGAGGTACATGATCCAGTAATACTTTGTCTCTCGGGGAGTGTGGAGGAAGATGATTGGACGTCACATTTTAAATATCATTGTTAATATTTTTGTCTCCTTCGTAGGGCAACTTCAGATCCACCAAATCCTGCAGGGAAGTAACGGAGGAATCACAAGTATCGAATTCGACCCCTCGGTATGTTCCGTCCCATGGGGGAGTGCTGTGGCCCCTGTACAGAGACTGATGTGACTGTGGGGGAGGGAGCATTAGAGTGTAAGCTCCTCTGTACAGAGACTGATGTGACTGTGGGGGAGGGGGGAGGGGGCATTAGAGTGTAAGCTCCTCTGTACAGAGACTGATGTGACTGTGGGAGAGGGGGACATTAGAGTGTAAGCTCCTCGGTACAGAGACTGATGTGACTGTGGGGGG